GAATGGGGAATGTTCTGTACAGGATCGGCCTTGTGAAAGCCTCTTGTTATTTATGTTTGTTTTATTTTTGTCTGGTAAAAGTTTTGCATCCAATGAAGTGTCTAACACAACATTAACATAATCTTGTCTAATGTGTCAGTTTATTGCGTTTATTCTGTTTATTGGAATTTAGAATTCCAATGTACATGTACAAATGGCAATAAACTACTCTACTTTACTATTCCTCAGATATAGATACCTTAAAGAGTAAGAAAATGTACCATGATTGTAGCAGGAGTTGGACTCTTAGGTTTACCCATGTAAATCCCTGATTTTGTGCTCAACAAATCCATAGCAAATATTTATTTTTGCACATAAGGTTAGTTATTATGTTGATGCTGTCACGAAAACGTTCTTTCCGGTTAGAGTGAGGAAAACACGGGGAAAAAAGCATGCAGGAGTCGGGAATGAAAACAGGGGGCGTGTCCATAGTGCGCTGGTGTTCGAGGAAGGTGTGGCCAAGGCAAACAGTCCAAAACTGAGTCCAATGGGAAATCTGAGAAAAGGCAAAATCCAAAACTGGGCGGTCCATCCACGACAAACAGAATTAAAACTGGAACCGGGTCGGAACTGGCAGGAACAGGAACTTTAAAACCTTGATAGGACCAGGCGCTTCCAGGTCCCGGACTCACTTGGTACGGGAACAAGTGCAGGGCCCAGAACAGAGTGAGCGCCTGGCTTTTATAGGACGGAGGGCAGGAACCAGAGGCAGGTGCAGGGAATGAGTTCTGAACAAGGAAGGGTTTACGATCGTGACAGATGCTTGTAATGCTGCTTCTAGTGCTGAAATACTCTGGTGTTGCTGCTACAGCATATATTTAGTTATGCAAGATTTACAACCTAGATTTTAAAACATGAAGCCTAACCATCACATGATCCACCGAAAAAGCCAATGGATTTCTATGTAATGAAGTGTTTAAATGACAAGGATTAGTCTGTAAAGATACTCATCCCCATAGGGCCAGAGGTCAGATACTGGACATGAGTCAATGTTAATTAATAATCATTTAGGTAGGATGCCTTTGATGTCATACATGAAAAAGCAGAAAGCCAGGAAGAAGCTATCTCACACACTGTAGTACCTGTTTCCTTCTTGGCTGAACTCAGCCACAAGAGTGTCATCCCAAAAAAAAGTTAGAATGAACTTTTCCTTATCTGTGAGCAAAACATTGTTGAACTTCTTTAACCTTAAAATGGAGTCAGTACTGAAACTCTCAGGTGCTTAATTTACAGGAAAAGAGAGTGAAGACTTCATTTATTATTAATAGCGAGCTCCGTGTTTAATTAAGATGTTTTGCTTATGATGAAATAGGCCCCAAACCTAAACATGTGAGTAAAATGAGGATAACACTGAATGAGGAGTCTTACACAGATGCACAGATTTCGAATATGGATGTCATTGTCAAGTTGCTGTTCTGCAATCAATCTAACTACATAGCACAGGTACAGCAAAATCCTTAGAAATCTTCACAGTTACCCTGAAAATGTGTGTTAAATTTTGATCAGCACAACAGGAAGGCCTAAAATATTCCTGGAGGAAAAAGTTATTACATCAACATTTGTTAAAATCAGCTTTGCTTACCAGAGGAACTCTTGCTTTTAAAATATAGTTCAAATGACCTGATTTCAGATGGGTGACTGCCTCAAGTGGTGTAATTCTCTTCTAAGATCATATATCAGAAGGCTAAATTAACTGACAGGCCTGTATTATATTCTGTTAGATGTGGGTCTTACTTTTTTAGGCAGCATAAAAAATAATATTTAAATAGTTGGCAGAAGCTCTTGTCTCTCAGACTGTATATAAGTGGGATTAAACATCATCACAGGATGAGAAGAACCACAAAGTTGAGGTACCGCAGGTGAATGAAGACAAACACAGTCATCCTTGCTAACATGGCCTCTATCACACCATACAGGAAGGACGTGAGACACAGACCCAGCTGAACTGCAGCAGCACTGTATTCCTTATATTTAACATAAAAGCAACCTGAACAACAACACATTCTTGAGTGTGACACACCAACTTAATGTGTGAAACTTTTACAAAGGTCTGAATTGAATTTTAGTGTACTGCCGAAGAGCATTCTTATTAATTTTACAGACTTTTTATGCTATTACTTGTTACTTATGCATACTATGTTTTACACAGTTATTCATCACATTGATAACAGGAGGACGTAAATCTAGAGATCTGGGATGTGACACTTCTGTCTCACTTTACCTACTGATTTAATAGATAACTGCTGTTTAAACCATGTGCAAGAACTATCTTTGTACTGTGAACTTTGGACAGACATTGTAGAAAGACTTGCAACTTGTAGTTCTGTGGAACTAAGGAAATGGTGTCTAATGACTAAGGAATATGTCTCTCTAAAGTTGCCCTCATGTTCCAAAACACATGAAGTGTGGACCTTGCCTTCACAGCTTCTTAAGTTTCATATTACTATCACCCATATTTACTCAAATCTTCTTGTTATTAGAGCTTTATGAGAAAACAACATTATTGAGAAAAAAACTTTAAAATAAGTGCTCCTATTCATAAATGCAAATATATATGATATAACTGAATTACAGACTCAGACTTCCTGAGTATTTTTATGCTTCATACTGCCATTCAGCACATTACCAAAAGTTCTAAAGACACACACTCCATATTAAAGAGATGATGTGTAATTTTTGTAATTGAAAGTGACACTCAAAAGTGCTCTGAACGCTATTCTGATTCTCCTGCTTTCTCCAGTGTTCCCAGTCCCTTAAGGCTTCCCTAGACCGGTGCCACTGGGGCTCATTAACACACTTCTGTCAGCTGTCATTTTAGATCTTCAGTCCTTAAAACATTAATCACCTATCCTGTCACTTTGCTGTCAAGGCACCCCTTAGGACTGTATACCCCTGGTGTTGCTGAAGTGATGTCAAGAAATCACATGATTCCATGAATAGTATTTTAGAGACACCTGCCAAAGAGAAGATGCTTCTTTACTTCATCACCAAGAGGAGGTGCTGGCAGGTACTGTATGCTTTGCTATGCTACTGTTTACCAACAGACACAACAAAGATATTGTCATTTGTGTCTTTAATTTACACATTAAACTTTAATTCTGTAGAACAAGTAAGAAAAGTACTTTTCTTAATTGCAATTTTATTATTCACTTAATCTATTAGATACCATTATCAGTCTTGTATTAATAAGGGTAAAAGGACACATCTGCCCTGCTGTAGACAGTGCAGTGTAGGGTAGTCTGAGACAGGCCCAGGCTTGCTGAAGCCTCACCAGGAAGAGGTCTGGATAAAAGGGCACATGTGTTTAATTGCTCATTTCTCATATTTGTCATTTTCTTGAGCAAATGAAGAGAGCAATGATACAGGTGAAGGCTGTGGAGGTATATGTACTGAGCTGTAGGATGTGAAGTAGGAAATAGACTGCAGACACATTTTTAAACTGGTTGTAGAACAGAACTTGTAGGACAGTTTAAAAACAATACACCATTCTTGCCACCATTTCCACCCGTGCTTGAAAAACATACAGTACTTAACATAACTATTTTATGTTTGTTTTAACAGTGAAATTGCCTATGGAAATGATAGAGATGTCAAATATTTCATTGGCGGAGAACAACATAGTGCACCAACAAGAAATCCGGATAGAAGTGGACTGGGTGTTCGGATTGAAAGTGGCTCTAGCTGTGTCAGCATGTTTTTTCTTCATCTATGTGAACGGCATCATGCTGTTCACCCTGAGGAGCAAAAGCACCTTCAGAGAGTCTTCCCGCTACATCCTGTTTGCCCACATGCTCTTCAACGACTCTGTCCAGCTGCTGACCAGCGTCCTGCTGTACATCTTTGCAGTAGCATATCTGCACATAGTCAGGGCTGTGTGCGCCGTCATTGTGATTATGTCCAGTACCACCTTTTACAGCTCCCCTCTGAACCTTGCTCTCATGTCTCTTGAGCGCTACATAGCCATCTGCTTCCCTCTGAGACACAGTGAAATAGTGACTCCTAAACGGACAATATTGGCTGTATGTGTGGTCTGGTTTTTTGGCTCAATAAATCAAGCAACTGACGTGATTGGTATTTTAATCACAGACCCCTCATTTTTCTTAACAACAGTATTTTGCACACGGGAGAACATGCTAAAGACAAAGTGGCAAGTGGATATGAAGATTGCAATCACTTCCATCTATTTTGTAGCAGTAGGAGTCATTCTCCTTTACACATATGTGGCAATAATGTTGGAGGCCAGGTCAGTCTCCTCTGACAGAGCTTCAGCAACAAAGGCCAGGAATACAGTGCTGCTGCACGCAGTTCAGCTGGGTCTGTGCCTCATGTCCTTCCTGTATGGTGTGATAGAGGCCTTGTTAGCAAGGATGACTGTGTCTGTCTTCATTCACCTGCGGTACCTCAACTTTGTGGTTCTTCTCATCCTTCCCAGATGTTTAAGTCCACTTATATACGGTCTGAGAGATGAGAGCTTTCGTCCACTTTTTAAATATTATTTTACCTGCAGTTCAAAGAAAGTAAGACCCATATCAAACAGAAAAAAGTCTAAACCATGATATTGCATCATTTGAGACAGTCTGACACCTGTTGTCACCTAATAAAAGCTGAATTAATTTGGTAAGTGAAACTGAGTTTAATAAAACTGTGCTATATCATTCATTAGATAAGATATTCATACAGTAACACCCCTTCTTGTTGTACCTTTGAAAGTTTAACACAATATATTTTCAGGGTATTTGAACAGTTTTCTAATGGTTTTGCTATGTCTATATCATGTAGTTTGTCAAGGTAGTCATCAATATGTGTCATACTTTGTATGAACTGAAGAGGAAAAATATATGCTGCTGAATATATTGTTTTTTATTGATACTAGTAATGATTATTTTACAACCATCTAGCAACAAAAAAATAAACTGATTTCTGAAAACAAATCTGGTTGTATTTATGCCATTTTCTTTTTAAACGTGTATGATCTTTTTTTAGTAATATATTCAGGGGTAAAGGAGAGCTGAGGTTTGTGGGATATTCACACTGTAATGTTTATTTTGAGTGCCTTATAATGACTCAGAATCTATTTGACCTATATGCAAGAATATCGTTTCCTCTGTGTCATGCTGGTGGATGACCGGTGCAGAATCTGCTTCTTTGGCTAAGCATTCCTTTTACTTTCCTCATTTGACCATATGTAGTCTGAGAGTTCCCAACTTCAAATACTGTGTTCACATTAGAGTCTTGTTTGGCGTGTGTAAATGTGGAATAAAAGGACAGTTACCTGTTTGGTACGTTAAGTGCTTTTTTTTCTTCAAGATGTTAATGCTACGTCAACACAGTGCAAGGAAGATTTCACTTTAATATTGTAACGTCCACTCAGCTGCGTAGTCATGGGCCACACCTCCCCTCTCCTGCCTGCCCTGTGCCTGTTGCTGAACAGACAAAATTCAACACGTGTTGAATTTAACAAAATTTAACACATTAGGCTCCGACGTCCACCACACCCCTATACCGGGTGAAGCAGTAGAAAATGGATTTATGGATGGAACTCTATTTGGGGACTTTCCAAAGAGAATGTTTTAAGGAAAAAAATAATTTATTAAAAACACAATGAGAAATACTAGTGGAAAGAGTCTTCAAAAGTTCCTTAGTCACATGTGGCAATAAATAATCACAGGAGTATGCATGACTAATTTAAGGTAATGAGTTTACATTCAGTCTTGGATTTATTTTTATTGTTTTAACAAAACCCAGAAGAGAACTGATTATTCTTAGGAACAGTTCAATCTTTTAATGACTGTTTCAATGATCTGCAAAGCAAAGTCTCTTGAGCCAGGTGCTTCACTGCCTCCTTATCTTTCCTATTGTGATCAGAGGTGTATTTTGTATGTTATATAGCCATATTAAGCAGATGGAATTTCAAATAAAGTGAAACATATTGGAATTAATTCACCTTATTATTATTAAATATACTGTTGCAGAACTGACAGGGGAAATGAAGTTCTAAATTCTAGAAATTTATTAGACATCTTTTGTACTTTTGTGTACTTTCCTGTATTTCAATTCTCTGATTCACACTGAATGCTTCTCACACCCAGTAGAGGAGTGAGTGGGCTGTCAGAGAACCCTGCAGTCACACAGCCCTCCTCTGTCCTGCTGTCTGAGAAATGAACACTAAAGCTGGCTTGGGCCAACTAGAGTCCTGCAGCTCCCCTCTCAGTTCCCAGAGATACTGTACCAAACTCTACTCTGTAGGTCATTGCTACTATATGTAACAGATTGCAATGTATGCTCTAAGACAGATTACACACTGCCTTGGTTTGTGTCCTTCAATACAACATATTGCACTAGTGTATACAGTATGTAGCCCTAATGATGATCCTCAGATGATGATCCTTATTCAAAACTTTTAAACGATGTATTACACATCAGCTAACTGGATAATACAAAAGGTCTTTATACCTATAAATCCCAATCAGTTATTAAAAAGTCTGACTTATACTCTCAGAAGGTGTGAATTAAGTTATACTGTGGACTACTATGACTTAAGGGTATTGCTATATAATACATTAAATATACAGTACCCCACATATGAAAGTTATTACATGAAGTTCAAAAGGGGGTAATAACGATGATAAGTCAATCTCCCACAG